ACGTAGTAGTAGAATTCTACGTCAAGTAGGTATCACTTCATGGGACTCCAATAAAAAACTCTATTTTTTAAATTGATATTACTTTTTCATTTGTAATTAAATTTTTATAAAAAATATATCAAATTCATTATTTTTTATTATCTTTCATATGACACCAATCTATCTATCTATAGATAATACATTTGAAAGATACAATTATGGAAAGTTTTGCCATGTGTCACCTTCAATTCTAAGCAAACATTAATTATTATATTCTTTTTGCTCTTTCTAATTTAATACCTTAATTATTCTTCCGATACATTATTAGTACGTATTCAACTTAGATTAGAACTTATATGTTGCCATTAGTTTAGGACTAATCTACCGGTTGGAATCTTAGGTAACGCAATTATTTAAAAAAACTTCCTAAAACTTTGCAATTCAAATAATAACATCCCATGTTTATTTTAAACTACAGTAACTTTTTTATGTGTATTCTGATGATTACAAAAATTACATTAAATTTCATAACTTTTTATTAGCTTTCATATGACACCAATTTTGCATATATAAAAAGTATCTATTAATATGTGCGGTTCATATTCTTGCATATATATAATAGAATTGATTTTTTTATATTTTTATACATGCAGCATTTGTGTCATATGAAAAAAATAAAAAGTTTGGAATTTTGATATAGATTTTGTAACAATCGGAGTATAAAAAAGTTGTAGAAGTTTTAAAAAACGGATGTTATTTTAAAGTGATCAATTAGTTTTTAAGTTTATGTATCCAATATTGGTATCATTAAAAGATAATAAAAAGTTATTAATTTGATATAATTGTTGTAACAGAAGGAGTACAAATAAACATGTTATAGCATTTATAAGACAGGTGTTTTAAGGTGTTATTTTTTTTAATATATTTAACATTGGTCTCATATGAAAGATAAAAAAAAGTTGTGAATTTTGATACATTTTTTGTAACAATTGGAGTACAAATAAAAAATGTATACCACATTATAACAAATATGTGATTTTATTTTGGTGGAGCCCTGATGAGTTATAATTCAACACGACAAAATTTTGATAATTTATAATTTTGATCTCATTTGGTAACACAGAAATTGGCTTAATCGACTTATTCTACTGAAATTTATGAAATTCTGGCTGAAGTGGCTGGATAAACTGATTCTGTTGACTTATGAAAATTTATATTTAAAATATTGTTTATTGATAAATTAAAGATTTTTTTAATAATAGCTAAAATAATCTTCCACAATAACTTCAGCCAATACAGATAGAAAAATAACTTACCTTATGTTGTCTTATTACTACCTCCGTCCCACTAATATTGAGACGGAAGGGGGGACACGATTATTAAGATAAGTGAGTTTATGTGGTTGATATTAATTGATAAAGTAAGAATATTGATAAAGTAAGAATGATTCAGAGGCACACAAAATTTACCAAATTTGGTATGAGACAATTTTAGTGCGATTTTCCGAAAATTTAAAATGGGACAATATTAGCAGGCCGGAAAGAGTATTACATAATTCAGCGCGCGAAATCAAAAATCACATGTTTGGTAAAAAAGTTGGCTGATAAGTCGAAAATAGAGTTATCAAACGGGCTCTGTAAATTTAAAATTTTTAAAACAATATTTTGAATAATTCTTTGTAGTACATACTCCGTATATGATGTGATATATTATGAGTAATAAAGAGCTATTATAAATTATCTTTAGGTAAATGTAATCCAAATGTAAAACAAGTATGATAGTATAACAGTTTTTTTTCAAAAAAATTAATTTTCTTTCCCATAATTTCTAATGGATGTTTAGAATGTTAATTGTGTCTTCATGAATTTTAAAATATTTAAATTATGCAATTAACATCATAAATTTACATTTTTGAAAGAAATAATATTTGACTATGATGCTAAAATAACTTTGTATATATATAAAGTTTGAGTATTTAAATTACATATGCAAATTTGAGGTATTCATCTCACACCCCTTCAAAGTTTGAGGTAGTTTATTTATTTTTCTCATGTAAAAAATACATTTTGTATTTTACATGGTTAACAATGGATTTAAGCTGCTAAAATTTGAACTCCCCTAATTTAATAACATAACCGGGAAAACATTTTAATGATTTTTCTTTGACATTTGGGATTATATTATTTGAGCTAATTGGACATTTTAATTTGTTTTTTATTGGGAGTAATTATGTTGGCTACAATTTTTTCTAATGGATCATAGGAGATTATTAGACCTTTAAAGGGGGCAGCTGCCCCCCAATGCTGGTTGTACATCCACCCTGGGTGTGAACTAGAAAATATTGTCTAGAGCTGAGATATATTATTTAATTCAATATAATAACTACAAGCACTAAACGGAAATGAAAGTGGAATATAACTAAACAAAAAAAAATTAAGCACCCCCAAATAATTTCAATAAAATTGTTTTAAAGAAAATCTAATAACTTCCAAGTCATTCCTAAAATGAAAAAAATAGCAAAACATCATAAAATGAAAGTGGGAAAAAATAAAATATATAACAAGGCTGCACATATAAGAATTTGCTAAATATAAATTTGTGTTAATGCTATCTCAAATTTATGTTCACCTTTCTAATTAAGGATATTTCCAATAGGAATCAATTTTTTTATCTCATTTATGAAAGTAAAGGTTATTTTTACTTCAGTGTATATATTACTACCTTTGTCCCAATTCGATGGTACCAATTCTTATTCACATGGTCAACACAAATCACTCTTAATCTCTTACTTTATATATCCATTTTTTTATATCAAATTTGATTAAGGTGTTTGCGACTTTGTAAAGCAGTTAATGTGGTTTCTGAATATGTAATCTTCTAAAAATAAGTTGGGTGCGGGCAGAGATCTGTTTGCTTTATCGTTAGTCAAACATCACAAACCGCAATGGTATCATCAAATTTGGACGGATGGAGTAATATAGTTTTGATATATTTTGGTCGAGAGTTTCAGCTCTCAGAAAAGTTTTATTACTTACATACAGAGTATATAACAATCATATCGTGAGACTTAAAATGTTATTCAAGAGCTAGATAAATAAGGTAGACTGTATATAAAAGTTACGGAGTAATTCTTTTACTCGTGGATGTAACTTTAATATGATATGTTTATGTTTCGATTATGGCTACTTCTTGATGTGATGAGAATCTTTTTATAGGTTTTATTCATCTGACCTTCTAGGTAAAAATTGTCTAGAAGTCTAAATCATGCAACTTTTCTTTGTGCAATAACACTTATTTTACTTAATAAAATCATATATAGCTTCAATATAATAACTCAATCTAATGGAAAATAAATTGTATGTTGTCAATCACAATATGCACCCTAGCTATTGTCTCCTTCATTAAAATCGGAATGTCACAAAAAATATATTCTAAACTCTTTTCTTAAAGAAAGAGATCAAAAGACTAAATTGAATATTTCTAAAACTTAGAAGGACTAATATCTTAAGAAAAATTGATAGCACCCATTTTTAGATAAAGAAATTACAAAAATGTGTAGTTAGTTTACAAAAAATAGTAAGTCGCCAATGAAATTTAATGGATAAAAATAGGCACTAAGCATTTTCTTTTTGTTTAAGTAAATATATATTAATTTCAATTCGATGCAACTGTGTGTTACTAGGTTTAGACCGCAAACATGATTAGATAATTAGTTCAAAAATAAGGCATACTCAATAAATTAGAACATGCATTTTAAACCAATGTTATAATCGATTAAATAAGTGATTTCCCATTAGTAAAACTAAACAACAAAATCATTTTATCCCGTGCACGGCACGGGTAAAGATACTAGTATGTACAAATTTCATCTTCACATACAATTTTTCCTCTAGACCGCTAGTGAATGGGAAAAAAGTTGATCGAACAGATATATATAGAGGCATAGAGCCATAAGCAGTCCTGTAAAATGGGTCATATACTCCAATCCGCACAAAATAGTGTAATTCCTAAAAGAACGAGTGTAGCTAGTGTAGGTGGGTTGTGGGGGTGCCAAGCCTTATACCTGCAGACTGAGGGTGTCATATCCGTTTTTATTTAGGAAAATTCGCGAAATAAGATATAAAAAAATTGAAAAATAAGAGTAATTACTGTTAGGTTTCAAAATTACTTCCATGTTTAAAGTCAGATATTACCAAAATATGACAGTAATTAATAATATTTTGAGAATAAAAACATGATAATCATATTTTTTGGAATATATAAATGTTTTTAGTCTTGTTTAGAATAAAATCACTTTTATTCACTCGTAAATTGTAACATTGAATTTCATAGTGATGATTGGTACAACAACCAATTAACGGGCCGGGTGAGATTCCGTTCTCACAAAGCACTTTATTTGTTCATTGACGAAAATTATATACTCCGTATCATCTTTAATGTAATTTTATTTATACTTCGTACTAGGTAGTATGTAACATTTTTATAAAACACATGCGGAGCAGTAGTTTCAATTTTTTTAGAGAGCAGTAGTTTTAATTTGTAATACATGGATAAACAAAATGTGTATGACCAAAATATAATATGTAAATAATGTAAAAATCAAAGTGTTGCAAAGATTAAGGAACCCGGAAATTATTGACATTATGGTAAGGAATAAGGATCTTGTGTAAGATTGAGATTGTCGTGTTAGATAGTTTTAGATGATATTGTAGCTGAATTAATTAAATAGCAAGTGACTTATTTCTTCAAGTAGTAATGACACGGAAATGTAAAAATATTAGTTGTAATATGATAATATCACTTATGCGTGTCAATTTATGCAACATACCCATTACCCATATCTTAGATCAACTTGAAATGAAATGAAATAATATTGTTCTATTTAAAGAGCCCCTCCAATTCGGCAATATAAATAGGACTTTCGTTATGACCAACGAACAGGCCCTCCCACACGCTAAGTACTCTTTCAAAGATGCCTCTTATACGTACGTACCAATTACCAAAGCACGCATTTTGTGCAATATAAAGTAAGCTACCATCCCACACAAAAGTATAATTATAGTACCTTTACAAAAATGTCTATCAAACTACTACAAATTTTGTGCACAATATTAATTATAATAATGGCCTCAGCAAGTGCCACGGCGGGCATTCCATGTAGCAACGTTGTCCCAAAGGTTTTCCCTTGCTCAGGCTACTTAATCGGTGGCGACTCGTCTCCAAGTGAAGCATGCTGTGGTGGGGCCCAAGATTTGGATGCACAGGCGGCGGCGTCTAGACCAGACCGCCAAGCAATATGCGGGTGCTTACAAGCCGCCGCCGCCGTTTTCCCAATCGACGTTGAGAAGGCCGCCACTCTTAACGACTCGTGTCATCTCAAAAATAAGATACCAATTGATCTTAGTGTGGATTGCTCCACGTAAGTATACATACATCCTAAATTCCTAATGTGTAACCTGTTATATATGACCACCCGATCACCCTTTACGTAACTGGCATAGATTGATCGAGTTTATTTGACATTAATCATAACAATGTTTTTACATGACTATGTCAAATAGCTTGTCCTAAAACGGCATTATCACGAAGTTTGACATGAATTTCACCTATTTGTGCCCAATATCGTATAAGTTTTTACTAATCTCTCTCAAAGACTTGTGCCACATTTGTGCTAATGCCATTACTTTTTGAAGTAGATCGTGCTTTCCATAGCAAGTTTCGTTTCAAAATATCTCTCACATTCCACTTCATATTAATCGCAACAAATTCTTTATGTACGATTAAAAGATAAACATAGTTCAAAAGTAACAGGACTTACAGAATTTCTTTTAATTTCTAGACTTATATACTACCCTGAAATACATTTTAAAAATCTTCGAATTCAAATTTAATAAACTTTGATTATTTGTTTTTTTTGGAAATAACTTTGATTATTGTTGGGCCGAGAAGAATTAAACTATAAAAAGAATTCAACCTTAGCTTAGGAATGCGACGGGAAGGAATCATTAATCGGGAAGGGTTTTTGCCCACCTTGAGGCTTGAGCAACCACTTCTCAATGGTTACGTTTTCGCAAATCATACTCCGTATAAAATTTAGGAAAAATTGAAAATATTAATCTAATTATTGATTATTTTTGTATAATCCCAACTGTATGGATCATCCGCCAATAATGGTCCATGACCAGATAACAAGTGAATTTCAAATAGAAATTAAGCGTAAAAATTAAAAGTTGAGATTATTTATAGGGATTACTTGTTATATCTCTTCTCATCCACTTTAGAAACTATAGGAATTTATTTATAGTTGGTCACATCGGACCATTATTGGCAGAAGGTCCCTAAAGTTGGGATTATTCTGAAATAATCGATAGTTGGGATTATTATGAGCGGATCGCTAATAGTTGAGATTATTACTATCAATTTTTTCTAAAATTTAAGGCCTTTCAAAATCATTTGTACAAAAGCAATTTTTTGTATATTCTAAAACGCATTTTGATCAATTCCTACTGAGCTTATGTTGTTGCATTTGGAAAGATTTACAAGCATCCATTTTCTTACCAACATGACAACATGTCTTGTTTAATTTATTTGAGTCTTATTCTCAAACAAACACTTATTGATAAAATACTAAATCTATAAAAACTTCATCCGACTCCACAATAATTGTGCTATTTGACAAAATGCGATAATTTTCTCACGCGTAAAAAACATTTCGATACGATAAATATATAAACATATTGAATGATGGCAGTGCCAATACAAATTACCATAATATCATGTGTTGCATTGCGTGCATACACACATGCTCCTAAGCAGCGGTTTCCCGTCGAAACAAAAATAAAAACAACAAAATAAGATATGGATATGTTACCCACCGTCTCCCAGCACCACCCCCACCGATCGGTGACAATTCTACCATTTGTTTTTTGCAAAAAATGTTTTTTTCTTTTTGAAAATGCCAAGAAAATGGTATTATTACTCTTCAATCTTCATAATGCCAAAATTCTGATTGAATTTGTCATTATTATGACATTACTAAATTAACATTTCCATCCAGTGATGGGAGCTGGTGGTGCTGGGATGGCAGAGGCGGTGGCATTTTTTATTTACGTATTTTTATTTTTTAACTTTTTTAAAAAAAATTAATTTTTTATTTTTTAATATTTATAATTTTTATTATTGTTGGGATAATGGGCCGGGTCCAAGACTATTGGCCCGTTACGCCCAAGCTTTGGCCCGACCAAGCTCAGAACACAGCCCGGCTAGCGGATATTGGTCCGGGATTATTTAATTACTTATCGGGTTGGCCGGCCCATTAGCGTGAGTGTTAGTGGATAAATCGGGCCAAGCCCATGTTACACTTAATTGGTGGGCTATTGTGTATGTCTATAAATAGGCCACCAACCCCTTGTATTCGACTAAGCTATTCTCACTATACTGAAATGCTGCCAAATTCTCTACCTGGGTTATTTTCTACCAACATTGGTGCTTTCATTGAGAGTCATCTCTCATATTTTTCGGTAGAAACAGAGAGAGATTTGGGCAAAAAATCAATGGAAAATTCGTCCCAATTCCAACAAAATTCAGCAAACTTGAATTAAGTTCTTAACAAAATAATTGAATGAAAAAGAAATTGGGAATTCAACCCCTTAGTGGATTTTGTTCTAAGGGTTGCCGTAAATTTGGGGATGAAAAAGAAATCTGGAACCAAAATCGGTCGATACCGATTTGGGATTTCAAATCTGATGGAGGAACCGAAGAATTTGATCTTGTGGCCAGAGGCGTGCGTTTCCTTCGCAGCAGTGACGCTTGCAGGTCAATCATCCTCTTCAGACGCCGCTCGAAGCTCATTCCTCCAGATCCTAGACGTGAGGTCACCATCCAAGCCTTCATCGTCCACGCCATCGACGTCAAGCTTTGTCCGTTGCTTCACTGCTCTGTCTCTGTCTAAGCGCGGCCATCTCTACTAGGCGGGCCAGATCCTAAGGTCGTGGCCCCTCGTAAAGGTCAGAGTTCCTCTCCTCTGCCTGTTGGCAGCAGCGACGACCGAAGGAGGCACCCAACTTCAAGCCTAGGATCCATCTCCAAATACGTGACCGGGTCCATGGAAATCGGCGCTCAACATCAACCTCGTGTGGTCATCGCTCGTAGCTCGCTCGTCCACATACGTCGCAGCATCGTAGATAGCAGGTCTCTCCACCACCCCATAGCTATGTCGCCGGTCTCAGCCTCTGAGCCTCAATCTCTTCTCTGTTAGCCGACGAGTTGGGAAGGCAGGAGAAGTGTGATATTCAGGGGATCGGTCGCTATCTGGAGCTCCGCCTTTTCTCGGGCTCCGATGCTGGTAGGAGATGGTGACTGCCGCTGCTGGACTTCTCTTTCAGTGGGCCTTAATTTTGCCCTAGTCAAAATTCAACCAAAGGACATAATCAAAGCAAATTAGCAATATCAAGACTGACAATTCGCGAGATCTAATTGGCGAGGCAGACGTGGGGCCACATCCCGGAAGCTTGGTGGCACGGGCTCAACCCGGTGACGTGAACCTCCGATCTCCATCGAGAGGCCCGTCTCTGCCGGGAGGTCCGGATGCACAACCTTGTCCTGGAGCGCATGTTCGGGGTCGGTACGCCTGTACGCTGAAGCTTGGTGGCACGGGCTCAACCCGGCGACGTGAACCTCCGATCTCCATCGAGAGGCCCGTCTCTGCCGGGAGGTTCGGATGCACAACCTTGTCCTGTAGCGCAAGCCCGGGGTCGGGACGCCCGTACGCCCATATGCCCGGACTCCCGTATGCCCGGACTCCTGTACGCCCGGACTCCCGTATGCCCGGACTCCTGTACGCCCGGACTCCCGTATGCCAGGACTCCCGTACGCCCGGACTCCCGTATGCCCGGACTCCCGTATGCCCGGACTCCCGTACGCCCGGACTCCCGTACGCCCGGACTCCCGTACGCCAGGACTCATGTATGCCCGTACGCCCGGACTCCCGTATGCTCGGACTCTCGTACGCCCAGACTCCCGTACGCCCGGACTCCCGTACGCCCGGACTCCCGTACGCCCGGACTCCCGTACGCCCGAACTCCCGTACGCCCGGACTCCCGTACGCCCGGACTCCCGTACGCCAGGACTCCCGTACGCCAGGACTCCCGTACGCCAGGACTCCCGTATGCCCGGACTCCCGTACGCCCGGACTCCCGTACGCCCGGACTCCCGTACGCCCGGACTCCCGTACGCCAGGACTCCTGTATGCCAGGACTCCCGTACGCCCGGACACCCGTACGCCCGGACTCCCGTACGCCCGGACTCCCGTACGCCAGGACTCCCGTACGCCAGGACTCCCGTACGCCAGGACTCCCGTACGCCAGGACTCCCGTACGCCCGGACTCCCGTACTGTAACAACCGTCCCCAAACGACCATTACGATACTCAAACATAACAGAGACTCGATAAACCAAGCAGAAATAAAGATACAAAGCCTCGAGCTGAGACTCTATTTCTTTTAAAACATAATCAAAACTTACATCCATAACGAAAGACATCCAAAAGAAATCGCCTTTAAAAATCACACACCTGATCAGGATTTTAAAAACATTTAATAGCCCTTTTAAAGTACCAATGTACTAAAGCAAAATATAACCGACGCCCAGATCTTCTCCGTTAACCCATCCAGAACCTTGTCACCCGCTCCATACATTCTCTCAGGCTTTCGTACTTCATTTATTACCTATACATGAGAACATAAGAGAATAGAATTCTCGTAAGCAATAATGCTTAGTAAGTCACCATTTTATCCACTAAAAACATTTAGGGAATCTTAGCTAATTATAAATAGATACCCATGCTGAATACACCACACATATACTATAATCATACATGATAACAACACATAAGCATTCATGTATCAAACACCAAGAGATTTCCTTATTCATCATTCTTTCTTCTTATCTTATTCCTTGACTTTATGGGCCCGTAGCTCGTGTCCTGGCCCCTCGCTTATGACTTTGGGTAGCTAGCCCTCAGCCATCAGAAGCAACCCCGAGACTCCCCGCGGAAGGAGATCCCGCTACGCTCAGCTCAGGTAGTTACTTGGGGGCACGGCTACCTTGTAACATTACTTATCTTTCATCACTTTCATTATGATCATAACTTCCTTTCACTGTTGGTTCCATATGAACCCAACCTCAAATCAAACATAAAACTTGAAACACACATATCTTATGCCATACAATTTCAAGTATTAACGCACATACATCAAATTCATAATATTTCGTAACTTCACAATTTACAAACACACATCAATAGATACATATAACTTGAAACTCACATATCTCATACCGTATGATTTCAAGTACCCAAGCACATATATCATATTCACAATTAGCTAATCTTCCATCATTTATTTAGAACTATCATGTATAGGTGGTGGTGACTTACCTGTAGAAGCTGAGCTCAAATTACTCAGTTAAGAGTGGCACCTTGATAACATCTTCCGATAAGCTCTTCTTAAAACTCCTTATATTAAATGAATTTATGATATGAGAATCTGCCAAGTATGAAGATGGCCATACTATTGAAGTCTTAGTAGAATTTAAAATCTTTCTTGCTGCTACGGAGAATAGAACAAAAACTTAAAACTCGAAAACCT